CTAACTTTCTAAAAAATAAATGACAGCGGAAGATGAGGTCCTGGTGACCCAGGTAAGGAGCCTCCAACAGGAGGCAGGGGCCAAAGTTTGTGTCCCAGCTCAGCCAATAACCACTGTGGGAAATTAAGCAAGTCATTTCACCATCTGAAACTGTTTCTTCATCTTTAAAGAGATTAGAATTCAAATTCACAATTACTTGCAGATCAGAGACCCCTCTGAGATTCTGCTGAAAGCTATTGACCTCCTTCCCTGAAAAAGCACAAACGCACTGTAAATAGAATTCCAAAAGGGTCAGAGGCTCTTTAAAATCCACCCACAGATTCCCTAGAGGACTTTAGAATGATTTACATGGTCTGAAATATGTAGTTGAAAAAATAAAATGAATCCAATTACATTTACTATTCCCTATGAGAATTAGTTTTAAAATGTGAATTTGGGCCATTATGTCATCCATTATAATTACTTTTTTGTAATTTATACTATGCACAATAGAGCTAATTTTTCAATAGTACAGAATATTTCCTTTGTGGATTAATAGCATCCTAGGATCTGCGAGGTTATGAGTTCACCCTGCTACTCAATACAGGAATCATCTATAGCCTGCCTCAGAGATGAAACTATGGCTTTGACTTGAACATACCCAATGATGAGAAACACTCATTTGTTTTATTTCTGGGCAAACATACAGAATATTGGAATTTTCTTTTTTATCTTGAGCTATAATCTGCCTGTACACAAAAATGTCAGCCATTAACCCCATTTCTGCTCTTAGAAGCTATGTAGATTAACTTTATTTCTTTTTCCAGTATTTTAGGAATTCAAAGTCAGCCTCTATTGTCCTCTAGTAGTTTCTTCTACGCTAAACATTCCAGTTTCATCTATAATTCCTCCAGAAAAGTGAGAAAAAGTGTCATAAAACTACTTGTAATCCCAATTCCCCTCTGAATTGGTCCTCTCAAAATGCAGATGATAACTAGGCAGCATGTTGCAGGAAAAGCATGACCAACACATGGCTAGAGAGCAGTTCCCTTTCTTATATGGCCAAATTTGCCACTAGGAATACCACCAACACTGCCAGGAGCTCTGTACCTAGAAACTGGTAGCTCTTATCAGGTCAAGTGAAATATTGTCACCTAAAATCCCTAACCATAGTTAACTAAGGTTGCCCTCATACTCTCTTTTTTTTAAGAACTGAATTAACCTTTCTAAAAACAAAAATTCTGTTGAACTCTACCTTAATTGCTTAGGCCATCATTCCAGCCCTTGGAAACCTTTACTTTCTGCCACTCATGTCGTCTTTTCTTCCAAATTTTGTGTCATCTACAAATATAATGAGACTCCTGTCTTTGGCTTCAAATTAATTGATTAAAAATATTGACCTGTGGTTTGCCAAATATAAACCTCCCTCTATGGATTCAGTATTCAAAATTCTTCACTCAGTTACTTTACAACTTCATCGAATCCACATTTAACCATTTGATCTACAGAATAGAGAAGAGAATACGTATTATAGTCTGCTTGGGATCAACATTTCTTTCTTTTCCTTTTCTTCTTTTATTGTCTACTTCCTTTTCTTCATTCCTGCACATTTTTATATGACATATCCTTGTCTTCTACATGGTTCCTTTTCCTGTGTGCTCATTTGGCTTCGAAGAAAAGAACCTCCATTGTTTTTTTGGGATTCCTTGGCCTTCTGCTCATATGCAGCCCTGGCTGAGTCTGTGCTTGCTCCTGGGGCTGTTTGACACGTGCCAAGCCTCAAACTCTGTGCAGAGGAGGGATTTCCTTGATGCTCATTAGCATCTGGCAGAGGAGGAAGCTCTGAGAATTTCAACAACACCCCCAGACCAATTCATTTTCCTCCACCTCTAGAATTACATCAAATGTAACCCTCCTCAAAAATCAAATAGGGGTTTAAAGAAAATTAGAACACAAATTATACATGTGTTTTGGGATGCAGGAGAGGTGTGGGGAGAAAGAAATCTATACATAGTCCTCAGCAGACTTCTCACCTTAATCTCAGCATTATTGCATCTATAATCAGATGAATGTTGATGACAGAAAAAGAGAAAGATTGCCTTGAAGACTACTTCAAAGCACAAATTAACCAATTGTTCATTATCCAATTGAAAGATGGCATTAGAGTAAACTGCTTTGGGAATCAAAGAATTTGTGGTAGATATTACACTGAATGGCTCTGTGGTAACATGTCACCAGCTCCTGCCTCATCAAAATGTTTCACCTGGAAATAATAATGTCACATGTCTGTAGGGCTAAGGAAGACCTTCTAACATTTGTCCAAGTGAGTGATTTTACTTTTAAAAAGGTTTGGCTTTTTCATATAACTTTGTGACCATTATTATTTTAAAATAACTTAAATGTGGATCAGGGTAAACAAGCAGACCTATTCTCAAGTGTGGAAAGTGGGTGATTAATGGATTAATGAGTTAGACATCTTAATTACTCATTTTTTCCCCTTTACATTTGATCTGCTCATTTAGACAAATCAATGTGGACATTAGATCATTACCTCTTATTTAAAGAACATTATCTTAAACACAGCTTTATTACTCTGTAGTCACCTTGTGGATGAAAAAGATGAGCTCTAGAGCCATTAGAACCTTTGCAAACCTGGTGAGATATAGTCAACCTCAGCTCAGGGAGAAGAGTGAAAGGTGGCTGAATAATTACTGTGCCTTAATATTTCAGAGGAAACCACAAGACCTTGGTGCCAGGTTAATTAGTACTCAAAACCTGTGATCAATCCTAGAGAATGAAAGAAAGTTTGGATATGCAGCCAAAAAGCTAAAGGTGAAAATGAATCAATGTCTCTTAATAATGGAACTTTATGACTTACTCATTCATACCCTCATTAATTCATTCAGTATATACTGAGGGACTATGATTCGTCAGAACTTCTCTTAGCATCACAATACCTTTATAACCTTTTACAAATCAGACATCTTCTCCAAGTCTAAATTTTACTATCCAGGTGTTTATCACAAGGAATACTGAGGTTTAGTGACTCATGCATGTAAGACTCCAGCAGAGTGACTGGCTGGACACTCAATAACACTCTTCCCTTTCCCTGAGCACTGAGACCTCTTTTTCAAATAATTTATGATAGTATGAAATGAATTCCATGTCTTAGTAAAAAATTTCTCCCTACAGTCTTAGGTCAAGAAGAATTGTGAGTAATCTGTGTTTGCAGATGAAATTAAAGTATTTAAATATTATTACAACTGATAAAATATTTTTGCAAGATAATCCATAAAGCCTAAGGATGTCACTCTATGCCAAATAGCACTCTGAGGCTTGCTGACAGCAGTACATGCAAACTTACACATTTCTTGAGACTCTTTGCTTTATAGCAGACGTGAGTAATGACTTCCTTTCATTTATCAATTCTTACTGGAGTGCTTTTTAGTAATACTTTAAAAATCTTATAAACCGATTTTATAAAATACAATAAAATGGTCCAGGCACAGTGGCTCATGCCTGTAATCCCAGCACTTTGAGAGGCTGAGGCAGGCAGATCACTTGAGGTCAGGAGTTCGAGACCAGCCTGACCAATATGGAGAAACCCCGTCTCTACTAAAAGATACAAAATTAACCAGGTGTGGTGGTGCATGCCTATAATTCCAACTACTTGGGAGGCTAAGGCAGGAGAATCACTTGAACTCAGTAGGTGGAGATTGTGATGTGTGGAGATTGCGCCATTGCACTCCAGCCTCGGTGACAATAGCAAAACTCTGTCTCAAAAAAAAAAAAAAAAAAAAAAAAAGTGTAAAATTTTCCCTATCCACCCCATTAACCATCACTATATGCATAAAGTTTCAGTTAGTCTGATGTCTTAACAGAATAAACTCGAGGAAAATGAAAGATAATTTTGTAGATTGAGTGTAGTTGTAATTATCTTCTGATTTACACTCTAAATTTGAAATCATTTTGAAAAACATCTAAAGATAGATTATTGTGGAACTGCCAAAGGCATATGCCAAATTGTTACTTCATTAATTCGATCAATCATTTAGACAATAAATATAAATGAGTACCTACTCTTTGCTAGGCACTGTGCCTGGGACTCTAAAATGAAATTACGTATTTTAAACATCAAGGAGTTTTCTCAAATGAGAAAGATATGTAAACAAATACAGCTCGATAAGGTAACTGACAACAGATGTTCCAAGAGCAGGGAGGAACATGAGAAAGTCTATGGACATGCAGAATTGGAGTACCCATCAGAGAGGAGGCAAGCTGATAACAGAAGGATGAGTGGGAGATTATCAGATGTGTGTGTAGGATGAAGATGTCTGGCAGTGAGAACAGGTCAAGAAAAGTATGGAAACCTGAGGGAGCATGGAGTGGCTAGGAGGAAGAGTAGGTTAGTGTTGTTAAGTGTAAATTGCCCTGAAAGCAAAAAGGCTGGTGAGAAATGGTAGAGAGCCCATATCTCAAGAGCCTTATGTAGCGTGTTTTCCCTGCTGTGTAGGCTGAAGAATTTTGAATAGAGAAGTTCCATAATCACAATGGTATGTTTAGGTTCTGAAAGAAGACTCACAATATTGTGATTGTTTTGTTGTTTATAAGTTACAGAAATGGCACACACGTCCTTTTGTTCCTAAGAGTTTCAATAGTTCTCATTGTAATAGAATTGAGGGGTGCCAAAAGCAATATTTGAACTAAGTGTTACATGCAAATTATAATAAGAACCTGCGAGCAGATTTTTAGTTAACAGGTTTTTAATAGGCTGTGATGTAATCCCTAATGGAGAAGCTTTAATTATAAAAGATAGCCCACCTCTAATGGAAATTCAGCTGGGTATGTTTTTATTGCTCAGTGAATTAAAAGGTTTATAGAGCACTACATTGTCAAGATTCTTGGAGAAAAACACATAAACATCAAATAAAAACTTTCCACTCTTTTCTTTATCTCTTGCAGCACAGTACTCTTCCAGAAATGAAAATCATTTAAATTTTGCATAATTTTTATAATTTCAGGGGCTAAGCATCTGAAAGGCCAGAATGAATCAGCATTCCCTGAAGAAGAGGAAGGCACCAATGAAAGAGAGGAGCAGCAGGACCATTAATTAGTGGTCTGCAGCAAGAAGGCTTCTTGGAAATAACTGAACTATTAACTATTCTGAGTATACTATGGAATTCCACTGCTTGACTTCCAGAAGCATCCTCCTTCTCTGCACCCCACACTCATACACTATCTATGCACCTTCCGGAAGTCTCCTTGACTGAACTTTAGAACTAAGTACACTTTGTTCCACATCACTTACCATTAAAGAATAAGCATTCATTTTACAGTGATTCTTCTTCTTAACTATGTAGAGATTTGCAGACATGGCGACTGTTCTAACTTTAATACTGCCAGAGCTTAATCCTTGATGTCCTAATGATAAGGTTTGCATTCTAACCGCACATGTAAATAACATCACTTAAAGAGTAAAAAATAAATATTAAATACATTTAGACATGAGTGTGTGTGTGTGTACGTGTGTGGGTTTAACTTAAAAAGAATTATCGAATAAAACTTTCAGCTTAAGATTTACATTTGTCTATTTCTGTATCCAGAATAGAACAGTGTTCATTTTTAAATGATGACTAAATGCCAGTTTTCTTGATTCAATACACAACAATATAGATACTAAACACCTTTTTCTCACCAATGACACATTAATGGTTGATTATAAAACTACAGAATTCTCTTCATTTTCTAAGTTACGAGGTGCATATTTTCCAGCATTTTCTCTAGTTATTAAGAAGAAAAAATGATAAATCTAAAAAACTATGCCAAATCTTACCTTCTTTTTTGTCTATTACTTGAAATTTGGGCCATCTATTTCCTATTGCATTTGACAAATAATTAGCAGTTATAAATCTTCCATATTATAAGAAGAAATTCCATTAATTCATGCATATAGACATGTATTCATTAATTCAATAAATATCTTTTATGAGCTTATCCCTAAAAAGATACTCTGCTGGGAATTATAAAAATAAGAGAAAGATACTTTTACCCCTATAGAATTGGCAAAAGAGATAAATCATTAGCATAAAGCAATATTTTATATGACAGTATATATTTATTGAAAATGGCTTTTTCTTAATTTAAAGTTCTGGGCCTTTTGAACAATTTTAATTTTACATGATTTGTGAATACAAAGTATCTAAACTACAAAATTTCAGGGGGATGGAAGAATACCCAATTTGATTCCTATATTAATAGTATTAATGAAATTCAAATGTATCATGGATAAAAAATGAAAAGATTTTTCAAAAGTAAAAAAAAATGAATGCAGGAAAAAAATCATATGTGAAATTCACTGTGGGATCTCAATATCAAGATTTAAATATGTAAAATGATTGTTTTTAATTTTGAATCTGAGTTTTGTAATGTAGAAGTTAAGAGAGTTTTATGGAGTTGTAAAATAATATAGTCACTTGACAACCATCTTCCTTAATATTTTTCCTTAAGAAAATAAGTGTGAAACCCATTGGTAAGCATACCACATGTATAAATGACTATTTTAGTTTCATCTCTCTTCTTTTTTTCCTTTCTTCCATCTTTCTTTCTCCCTCCCTCCTTCCCTTCTTTCCTTTTTTTCTTCTCTATCTCCCCTTATCCCCCTCCTTCTCTCTCTTTCTCCGCCCCTTTCCTGACATTTTCTTTGTTAAACCAAAACTTTCTGAAGTTTCTATACCACCTGCTATGGCTGTTTGTTATTTCCCAAGTTTCTCTCTACTTAAAACCTGATTAAGGCCCTTTATTTATTTGAGACAGAGTTTCACTCTTGTCGCCCAGGCTGGAGTGCAATGGCCCCATCTCGGCTCACCGTAACGTCTGTCTCCTGAGTCCAAGTGATTCTCCTGCCTCAGCCTCCTGAGTAGCTGGGATTAAAGTCATGTCCCACCACGCCTGGCTAATTTTTATGTTTTTAGTAGAGACGGGGTTTCTCCATGTTGGTCAGTCTGGTCTCAAACTCCCAACCTCAGGTGATCTGCTCGCCTTGTCCTCCCAAAGTGCTGGCGACAGGCATGAGCCACAGTCATACCACGCCTGGCCAAGGCTCTTATTTGTTTGGAGTGATTTTGAATTATTTGTGTTTGGAAAACATCTCAATGCTCTTGAAAGTATTTTAAAATGCTTTTTTAAAAGGATACAGGCAAACAAAATGAAACCAAAGCTTTTGCTGATTTTGTAATGGTAATAAACAGGATACCTTCTGGATTTTTCTGTTCTGTTCTCCATTGCTAAAAATGCAAAGAAATCAAAATTAAAAGCATAAGTTTTCTTTGGGAAATGTTGGTTCCTTCCAAGCTGTTCTATTCTTCACTCTCAAAACACAAAGAGATCACAATTAAAGGATTAAGTTTTCCTTGGGAAATGTGTTGACTTTCTCAGAAATTTGAAGGAAACCAGCTGAGATAATGGCTTTTCACTTTCCTTTCCACACAACTATAGTTCACAAAATTTTTTTTTTCTAGAAGGCAACTTGGCTTCAGTTTGGCAAAATAGGCAAAGAAACTGACCAAAACAAAACAAAGTGAAACAAAACAGAAACTGTATTTCCCAGACAACATTTATAATACAGTTGTTAGTAGCTGGGTTTTAAGTCATTCTGACTTGGATTCAAATCCAAGCTTTCAGACTCAGTTTCTTCATGTGTAAAATGAGTACAGTCATACCTAACCTACTGGGTTGTTATAAGACTTAAATGATATAAGACCTATAAAATATTTAGTCAAGCTTAGTGAGCATTTAATAATTGGTATATATTATTAGAGTTAGAAGGGACCTCAGAGGCCTTCTATCTTAACCTTATCTAATTCATGATCCTCTTCAACATCATGAGCAAGTGCTTAATTACCCCCACTTATTACTGAATAACTCCAGGTCCAAGCCAACCAAAGAGCTTTCTCTGAGCTTTCTTCTGTATATTAAACTCTCTCCTTCTACACCTTCCCTGTGTCCATGTGTGCTCATTGTTCAACTCCCACTTATGAGTGAGAACATGCAGTGTTTGGTTTTCTGTTCCTTTGTTAGTTTGCTGAGAATGATGGTTTCCAGCTTCATCCATGTCCCTGCAAAGGACATGAACTCATTCTTGTTATGGCTCCATACTAATCCATGGTGTATATGTGCCACATTTTATTTATCCAATCTATTGTTAATGGGCATTTCGGTTGCTTCCAAGTCTTTGCTATTGTGAATAGTGCTGCAATAAACATACGTGTGCATGTGTCTATAGTAGAATGATTTATAATCCTTTGGGTATATACCGAATAATGGGATTCCTGGATCAAATTGTATTTCTAGTTCTAGATCCTTGAGGAATCGCCACACTGTCTTCCACAATGGTCGGACTAAGTTTACACTCCCACCAACAGTGTAAAGGTATTCCTATGTCTCCACATCTTCTCCAGCATCTGTTTTTTTTTTTGGTTTTTTTTTTTTTTTTTTTTTTTTTTTACTTTTTAATGATCACCATTCTGACTGGTATGTCATAGTGTCTCATTGTGGTTTTGATTTGCATTTCTCTCATGACTAGGGATGATGACCTTTTTTTATCATATGTTTTTTGGCCACATAAATGTCTTCTTTTGAAATGTGTCTGTTCACATCCTTTACTCACTTTTCGATTTTTTTTTTCTTGTAAATTTGTTTAAGTTCCTTGTAGATTCTGGATATTAGCTTTTCATCAGATGGATAGATTGCAAAAATTTTCTCCCATTCTGTAGATTGCCTGTTCACTCTGATGACAGTTTCTTTCGATGTGCAGAAGCTCTTTACTTTAATTAGATCCTGTGTGTCAATTTTGGCTTTTGTTACCATTGCATTTACTGTTTTAGTCATGCCTATGCCTATGTCCTGAATGGTATTGCCTAGATTTTTTTTTCTAGGGTTTTTATTGTTTTAGGTCTTACATTTAAATCTTTAATCCATCTAGAGTTAATTTTTGCATAAGGTGTAAGGAGAGGGTCCAGTTTCAGTTTTCTGCATATCACTAGCTAGTATTCCCAGCACCATTAATTAAATAAAGAATTCTTTCCCTGTTGCTTGTTTGTCACGTTTGTCAAAGATCAGATGGTTGTAGATGTGTGGTGTTATTTCTGAGGTCTCTGTTCTGTTACATTGGTCTATATGTCTGTTTTGGTACCAGTACCTTGGCTGTTTTGGTTACAATAGCCTTGTAGTGTAGTTTGAAGTCAGGTAGTGTGATGCCTCCAGCTTTGTTCTTTTTGCTTAGGATTGTCTTGGCTATACAGGCTCTTTTGTTTGGTCCCATATGAAATTTAAAGTAGTTTTTTCTAATTCTGTGAAGAAACTCAATGGCAGCTTGATGGGGATAGCATCAAATCTATAAATTACTTTGGGCTGTATGGCCATTGTCATGACATTGATTCTTCCTATCCATGAGCATGGAATATTTTTCCATTTGTTTGTGTCCTCTCTTATTTTCTTGAGCAGTGGTTTGTAGTTCTCCTTGAAGAGGTCCTTCATATCCCTTGTAAGCTGTATTCCTAGGTATTTTATTCTCTTTGTAGCAATTGTGAATGGGAGTTCAATCATGATTTGGCTCTCTATTTGTCTATTACCATTGTATAGAAATGCTTGTGATTTTTGCACATTGATTTTGTGTGCTGAGACTTTGCTAAAGTTGCTAATCAGCTTTAGGAGATTTTGGACTGGGATGATGGGATTTTCTAAATATAATCATGTCATCTCCAGAGACAATTTGACTTCCTCTCTTCCTATTTGAATACATTTTTTTCTTTTTCTTGCCTGATGACCCCGGCCAGAACTTTCAATACTGTGTTGAATAGGAGTGGTGAGAGAGGGCATCCTTGTCTTGTGCTGGTTTTCAAAGGGAATGCTTTCAGTTTTTGCTCATTCAGTATGATATTGGCTGTGAGTTTGTCAAGCTCTTATTATTTTGAGATACCCTCTATCAATACCTTTTTGTTGAGTGTTTTTAGCAAGAAGGGGTGTTTAATTTTTATCAAAGGCTTTTTCTGCATCTATTGAGATAATCATGTGGTTTTTGTCTTTGGTTCTGTTTAAATGATGGATTATGTTTATTGATTTGTATACGATGAACCAGCTCTGCATCCCAGGCATAAAGCCGACTTGATCGTGGTGGATAAGCTTCTTGATGCACTGCTGGATTTGGTTTGCCAGTATTTTATTGAGGATTTTCACATCGATATTCATCAGGGATATTGGCCTGAAATTTTGTGTGTGTGTGTGTGTGTCTCTGCCAGATTTTTGTATCAGAATGATGCTGGCCTCATAAAATGAGTTAGAGAGGAGTCCCGCTTTTTCTATTGTTTGGAATAGTTTTAGAAGGGAAGGTACAAGCTCCTGTTTGTACCTCTGGTAGAATTTGGCCGTGAATCCATCTGGTCCTGGGCCTTATTTTTATTGGTAGGCTATTAATTACTGCCTCAATTTCAGACCTTGTTATTGGTCTATTCAGGGATTTGACTTCTTCCTGGTTTAGTGGTAGGGTGTATGTGCTGAGGAATTCATCCATTTCTGTAGATTGTATAGTTTATTTGCATAAAGGTATTTACAGTATTCTCTGATTGTATTTCTGCGGGATCAGTGGAGATATCCCCTTTATCTTTTTTTATTGTGTCTATTTGATTCTTCTCTTTTTTTAAATTAGTCTGGCTACTGGTCTATCTATTTTGTTAATCCTTTCAACAAACTAGCTCCTGGATTAATTTATTTTTTGAAGGGTTTTTCATGTCTCTATCTCCTTCAGTTCTGCTCTCATCTTAGTTATTTCTTGTCTTCTCCTAGCTTTTGAATTTGTTTGCTCTCGCTTCTCTAGTTCTTTTAATTGTGATGTTAGGGTGCCGATTTTAGATCTTTCCCGTTTTCTCTTGTGGGCATTTAGGGAAGCACTACTTTTAAATATTGTCCTAGCAAACAAGTGTAATATTACAAAGTTCATTTAACTGTGATACAGATTTACTCATTCATAAATAAACCATGTATATTGCATTATTTTTTAAAACTGTTTATACGTTTTTTCAGCCACTATTTAAAAGCAAACAGTTTAATTGCAAAATGAATAATAAAAAAGCATGTTTACTTACATTAAAGTGTTTATACATATGCAATTTTTAGTATTTGCTGTAAGTACGCAGAATGTGGAAAGAAATTCCCTTCCTTATTTTCTAAGTCAGTGATTCCAAAAACCAGTCTTCAAAGCCCCGTTAGGTGTATTAACTAATAAGTCTACGTTGCCGAAATGTGTTTTGTCTATGTTAACAAAATTAAATTGTTAGATTTTATAACATAATCACATTTTGAAGAACTATATGTCAAAAAAGAGCTTTATAAAAATCCTGGGGGAAATGTTCAGTTTTAAATGACATTTTCAGTAAATAAACATCTCACATAATGTGTGAAATGCAAACATCTAACATAATTCACACAGCAATGGAGCAATGTCCTGTAAATTCTTAAATAATCTACATGAATGATAGGTGCCTGATGACACTTTGTAAAGAGGCTACCACTCAACTGAAGATCTTTCCTTGACATTCATTTTGTGGACACAGACATTGTGTGTAGGGGTGCAGCCACTTCCCCTACTGAGTATAATAATATGCAAGCAGTGGAGACTTGGTCTGTAGAGGGAAGAATAGTTTGAGAGTGGATTAGAGAGAAAAATAGGCAAAGGAGAAAATTTGTAACTTGGAGACAAGGAAAAAATTCTGGAGGAAGTAAATTAAAATGATATTGTATTCATCTTTGTTTTTAATTTCTTACTGTACAAACACGACTTAACAGGGTTTTCCCTTTTCTCTGAGTTTCAGTAACAATGAAGCTAATTTGAAGGAATGAACATAGTGAGACTCCCAGGAGTATATAAAATTACCAAATTAGAATCCTAAAAGTAACAGAATGTTAGAGTATATTCAGCAAATAATTCTTCAGAACAACTGTTAACTTACAAAGGCAGACAGTTACCAGAAGTACAGCTGAAGTTTGGTGAAATAAACTCATAACGTTTGTCAAGGACATTACCATGTCTTTGTTTTCAAGAGGTGAGAGCAGCCTAGAGGTGCTAGCATTTTCTGAGCTAGAAAATGAAGCAGAGTTCTGGTCTATGTCCTTCATTTTACAGGCAGAAAAAGTGAGGCCTAGAGAATTTTTCTTCAAATTTACACCCAGAAAGTTCAAAATTGTGTCATGTAGAAAATTATTTGGCAGCAAATAAAAACCAGCTAACAATGATGTATATTGTAGAGGTATGTTTATGTCAAGAAATGAAATGTCTAGGACTGGAACAGTGAATTAAGACATCAGCAAGAAACAGGCAAATTTTATTTTCCTTAATATTTCCAGAGTTGTAAACTCCCAGCTCATCCAAGCTGCTGCTCCAGGCATCTGGTTTGTCCAAGTGGAAAGAACAGTTGGAAGAAAAAGGGGAAGAACCTATAGCAAAGAAGAAGACTTTCAAGAAACCCTCAACTAATGTCTCATGCATTACCCTTTGTCACCAGGCTATCCCTTAATGCAATGGTGCTGGAGAAAGTAAATATGTGTAACCAGGTGCCTTGCCAAATCCCAGCTAAATTAGGGTTCTCATCATGAAAGTGAGCATGGGTGTCTGTTGAACGTTCAGCAGTATCTGATTCCCAAATGAACAGAGTTTTGGGATTCTCTTCTTCCTTAAGGCATTTAAAGGAACCACAGACTATTTACACATGTTAAGGAGTTAAAAATATTAACATTCTGTAGATATTTTTGCTAATTAAAAATGCATGTATTAGGTAATGTGGCTGGATAGAACTAGTCAGATATTCTTAATTATTCTATGCTGCTTTTCATATGATTATTTGGTGAAGTTTTAAAAGCTATCCTTTACAAACACAAGACCAAAATTATAGTTCATTATTCAATTAATATGTATGAATAACCATGACATGTTAAACATTGTTTAAGTGCTAGGAATTATAGGTATCAATAAGATAGTGAGAGTCCTTAACCTCATGGGTGTATATTTTAATGTTTGAAGACAGTCAAATACATGTAAACTAATAAAGTAATGAAATCATTTCTAATAATGATAAATTTTCAGAAGGAAATAAAATGAGGTAATATTGCAAAGGGTAGTGTCTCCTTTTTATTAAAGCTGTGTGACAATGGGCAAGTCCTTTAACCAGTCCAGAACTGAGTTTTCTGTGCAGTAAAATGTGGAGAATGATACAATACAATAGAGGATCAGATAATCTTGTCAGGGCCCCTCTCACTCTAAGATCTGTTTCTCCTTTCTAATTTTCTTTCAAGAACTGCAGGCAAGCTGTAAAGGAAAAAAGAAGAGATGAGAATAGACAGAAAGCAGCAGTATTACGAGAATATGGGCTCAGAGGAGAAAAGATATCTGTGTGCTTGTATGACAGCCAATGGAATAAAATTGCTTGAGTTAGAAATGCACAAACATGCACATGCATATGTATGTATGTATATAATAAAATGAGCATTGAACCAATTGATTTCTGTCTTTTAAATTTTCCCTTTAGAAAATGACCTAAATAGTGGAGACTGGTTTTTTTGTTTGTTTTTGACATTTAAAAGTTCTTCCAGGAGAATTTTCCTCTTACAAATCACTAATTGGATAATTGACTCTATCCTAGCACACAAGTTTTGTTGCTCCTAAGTGCTGCATACCAGACTTTTCCCTTTACTGAGATTCATATGACATGGTTTTAAATTCTCTGGAAGGTTTCCACTGTGTTCTGAAGTACTTTCTTTTTCTCCTCCAGGTGCAAAATGAGTTGATAACAACCAGAAGTTGACATGTTAGTGCTGTGCTTCTACTTGAGCTTGGAAAAATTTCAACAGGAAACAAACACCACCACCATCACCGCCTCTGATTGCATCATGGCACCGTGTTGCTTTCTACTGGATTGCCTCCTGAAGCACTTTAGATATTTTATACATAAGTATTGACATGTTTTTGAGAAGGTGTTTCTTCACTTTACGTTTTTCTAATAATTTATATTACACCATTTGTCAAGTTCTTCTCTTTGGTTTTAATTTATTTCTCTCTACAACTGAAAAGGGAACCTTGATTTTAGGTAAATTTTAAGTGATTTATTTTTCATTTTATATTTTGGAATCTGAGCCTTGTTTTACAACAGGGAGTTTTTCAAACACATTTCCTTCCTTTTTCAAATTCCACTGTGTTTATTTATTGCTTTGTTTTTCTTTCAAATTCCATTGGTCTTGATTTAATTTAGTCCCACAAATTGTATTGATAGCCTACTACCTGCCAACTACTGAATTAAGCATTGGACTTATAAAAATAGAAAGGCTATTTTATTGTCGTTGCCATCCTGCTAGTAAAAATTTGTTCAATTCTTTACAATTACGTAAGTGGCTTCACCTATGTTTCTCTGTTAATAATCACATTGAATATGTCTGACAGGTAGGATTTATGTCATAGATAAGAAAACTAGAGTCCAAAGAAAATAAGTGGCCCTAAATGAACCAATAATCCAACAGACCCTTCCACTAGCTAGCTTCTGACCTGGTTGAGTTGCGATAGACTTTAGGACAAAAAAGCCCATCCTCCTTAGGAACCACAGACTTACGCTTTCTTCTACTGTCTTATGTATTGAAACTTCCTGCAATTCAGGCATAAATTTAGCATAGGCAGATACTTTTGCTAATAAGGCTAAGGTGGGAAGAAAAACCTGAGCTTTACTTTAATTCTTGGGCACTGACTTCAAAGTAAGATGGCCTATAAGAAATAAAAGAAGTAAATTTGAAACTTTTAAAAAAGTATTTGGTTCATTTAAAAATGTTTCCCATGTTTAAATTTATATCTCTAAAATAACCTTTATCATGTAAAATGAGAGCATTGCTGAGTTTATGACAATCTTAGGTATAATCCTTTCTTAAAGAACAAGGCATCAATCTTTAATTTGTTTTCCTTTCTTGATTTCTCATAAGTTGCAAAATAAAAATAATTTCATAAATTGTTTATTGTTATTATCCTCCCTACTTGCCCTAGGACTTAAGTACTAACTTTTACTTCCTACTCCCAGACTTTGTACTGCTAAAGAAATAAAAATAATATGAAAAAGCTTAATCACCCAGACCTACATGTGGAATTATGGATTATGCTGTAGATAATAGACCACTGAAAGGAACAAATACAACTTCATGAGGAGCCAAAGACAGCATTCTACCTGCTGCTCTCCTGAAGCTGAGGAATGAGTTTAATTGACTTCAAATCCCATTATTCTCAAAAGTATTAAAGGTACAATGTGGCTGTATATGAAGCAAAGGAAAGGAACAACAAGAACTTTAAAAAAAAGTTTGTAGATGGTTGAACATCTCTTTTGTAATTAGAGAAGAACGTCTTTTCTTTTTATACGGTTTACAGAGACCAACATTTTTCAAGGCCTTGCAGTAGATGAGTGAGTTTCCTGCTACATTTCTCCTGCAGCATATATTCTGTGGATGTGTTTTCTTGCCCTAACGAGACACACATAATTTGTCACTTGTTTGTTACATTTTCAATTTGTTTTAAATATTACATTGGTCATTTATTTGCTTTTGAGAACACCCAATAGTCTAAAAATTAAAATGACATGAAGGTCAATTCTAAGATAGGAGTTATACTACTAAATCCTGGACTTGCATATGATAGCAAGGTTGAGTTACACATTTTCGTTGTCAGAATAAATGGAATATATAAGAAGGAGTTAATTGGAACTGGTTGGTAACTAAATACGATTTTTTAAGTAATTATTTTTTTGTAGTAGTGGCGAAACAGTGTTAAAAATAAGACATTATCATTATAAACACCCAAAACTATATCTGTATGAGATAATTTAATGCAATATTTTGGGGAAAATACAGTTGCCAAAATTAATCTCCTTGTTTTCTTTCATTGTGCAATGTGCGGTTAAATTTTTTTCTATTGACCAATGTGCGTGTGTGTGTGTGTGTGTGTGTGTGTGTGTGTGTGTTTAATTTATATATGTGTTTGTATGTATCTCTATATACACATGTATGTGTATGTAAAATATGTATATATACACACATATATAAAATGTACACCGAATATGTATATATGTATATATAAAACATCTTTTGCTATACTGAAATAAAAAAGAAGCTTTTAAAAAGAAAGATAGAGAAGAAATTTAACCTGATTTCTACTAAATTAAGCACTAAAGAATTAAAACTTTACTAAAGGGCCAGGTGTGGTGGCTCACTCCTGTAATCCCAGCACTTTGGGAGGTCAAGGCTGGTGGATCAACTAAGGTCAGGAGTTAAGAAACCAGCCTGGCCTACATGATGAAACCCCATTTCTACCAAAAACACAAAATTTAGCCGGGCATGGTGGCACATGCCTATAGTCCCAGCTACTCTGGAGGCTGAGGCAGGAGAATTGCTTGAACCAGGGAGGCAAGGGTTACAGTGAGCTGAGATTGAGCCACTGTACTCCAAGATGGGTGACAGAGCCAGGCTCCATCTCAAAACAAAAACAAAAACAAAAGACACTTATACCGCCTACGGTTACAATTTTCATATTCTCTTCTGTTAAGGAGAAGCCAGGTGAGAATGGAGGGGCCATCCAGAGTAAAGTGGACAAAGGAACAGAGGTGAGGAGGTTCTCACAAGGGGTGCCACCGGTGAAAAGAGAAAGATGGCCAGAGGCAGAGAACCTGAGGGAGGGCAAGGTCAGCTCCTTCCTTCTTCCTCTCTGGCCACACAACTTGTTCTTAGCAGCTTCCTGTCCACTACTGCTAAGTCATTGCCGCATGAATGCATCTTTTGCACTCATTTCTCTCTGAGGAAAGGTTTGATGATGATTTCAATGCTGACTCACTCGACTTTTAGATTGTATCTGACTTAACTGTGCTTGTTAAATGCGTCTGTTCCTCTCACATGGATAGTTTCTACGTTATGAAAAGTCCTCTCCTTTTTCATTTCCTCTTCAGAAAGCTTGTTTTGCTAATGAAGAGTCTGTGAAATCTGGGGAGTTTGCTGCTCTGTGTGTGTGTGTGTGTGTGTGTGTGTGTGTGTGTGTGTGTGTTTGTATACATAGTTTTCTTCTTTGAGAAACTGCTATTGTTGCTTCTCAGTGCACCTGGATGTCTGATGATATTTTTTATTTAATGAGCCGTCTATGAAATCTAAAGGTTAGTGTTATTTTGTCTTTATGTTGATATTTTTCTCTCTAATATTTGTGTTAAAATTGTTCCCCAAATAGAATATTTACATGTACATGAGATAGCAACCAATAAGCAAATCAACATATCTACCTACACATATATATAAATCTATAAATCTATATCTTTCTGTATCTAATCTGTATGTATAATTTTGCCTTTTCTCTCAAGCAAGGACATGAGTGGTAAATTAATGATAATATGATCTCTGCTATGGAATGACTGGTCTACTCTGCATGGAGCAACTTCTCCATCATGTGGACTTTTAAGATATTGCTGCTAAAGTTAAAGCCATGCTATGCTCTTGAAACTGTAAATATCAACTAATTTTAAAAGAAAAGGATGAAGCTCTAGGTAGGTTATTTGTATAGCTCATATTATTTCTGTTTTTCTATGTGTCCGATGATATTCTCAGCACCTTATTCATTTAATCATTCCAAAAGTACCTATTACATAGGCACTCTTACTATTTCCATTTTATAGATGAAAAAATTTAGGCTTGTCCAAGAACATAGCACTGGTAAATGACAAAGTAAGTCCAAAATTGAACAGAAGGACAAATTTCATAAGATATCTTGGGTGAGATATTTCTTGCCTTAGATCTTCCACATAAAATGTAACAAATTTAATGGTATCTGCATAAATAAAAAATAATATTAATTTCTGTTAATCAAGGCCAGCAATGTGTCAGATACTGTCTGAATCTTTAAATATTCTTTGTTATTTATTTTACCACTCTATCAAAGTATTAATGGTTAAAAAATGTCTTCAGATTAGGAAATATTAAGGTTAGCAGCTACCAACAACCAATGAGTAAGAATTAGAGTCACTATTGCTCTAAATCCTATATGGTTCCCACTATTAATCGTCAAGGCTATAGGAAATCACCTAGGATATGTGAGCTTTTCTCCTTCACAAAGTTTAGGATTTGCTGTTATGAACATATCTCTATATCAGCATACCCATCTCCCCATCATAGAGACGAGAGAGATGAAGAAATCTTATTGTTTCTCTCACATAATTCAAATTTGCCTTTAGTATGCTATTAAGGATTAATGCACTCCCCATTTTTCTGCTCTGAGAAAAATAAATAAATGGCTTTTAGGATTCTGCATATCTGAAGTGCTTGAAAAGTGGGTCTTATTTTGACTGAGTTAACTGGAGATATTATCTGAAAAGGACCGACTCACTCATATACCTAGCAGGACAAATAATAATACACTTTTCCTTCCTGTCTTCATTCATTTATTCAACAAATATTTACTGAGCACTTACTATGTGTAAAATCTAGCAGCAAGTGTATGAAAGAGAGCTACAATTCTCTCAAACAGAGGAATAGCAGATCAGTGTTCATCCAAAGAGTAGATGGAGTTCTGGAGAGGAATGACAAGAGGCTTTGTGAGAGAGAGGGTAAATGCATAGTTCCTTAGAGGAAGGAGGGATGGGGACAGGAGATGGTGAAGGAAGCAGCAAGACTCAGTCAGCAGAGGCACTCAGTGCAAAAGCACTCAGGAACAGTGAATACTGTAATGAAGGCTATGACTGAAAACGGGCTGGGTTAGTTTGTGAGGGGCTTTGAACGTTATACTAAGGAGTTTAAGATTTACCCGCAGTCCAGTGGTTCTCAAAGTGAGATCCCCAGTCTACTAGCATTAGCTTTGCTTCAGACCCCATCCCAGACCTACTGAATCAGAATCTCTGGGGAATGGGGCTTAGACTTCTGTAGTTTAACAAACCCTCCAGGCCGTGCTGATGCATGCTAAGGGCTGAGAACCAGTGCTGTAGCCAGGCTTTCCAAAGTGATGTGTGTACTGAGAATGAGTGGCAGGTGTGCTGGAGATAGATAGTGACCTTTGCAATCCTCAGGTTGGCTAGCCGGGCCTGGGGAAGCTGGAGCTCCTGGGATGACTGTCACCAGCACAAGCAGCCTCATTCTTATTCCTAGGGCACCAAGTTCTTTGAGCTGAAATAGTAGTGTTGTGCAGAGTAGGCCTGTGGACAAATTTGTCACGTAACCTGTTTTTGCATGCTCTCTCCCCACCAGCTAAGAAGGGTTTACATATTTAAAGGATTGTAAAGGAGAAAAGGAAGATAAAGGAAAAGGATTGGAAGAAACAGAAAGAGGAGGAGGAGAAGAAAATGATGAAGGAGGAGGAGGAGAAAGAAAAGGAGAAGAGAGGGAGGAGGAGCAGCAGGATGAGGGGTGGTATAATGGTATGTGGCCTGCAAAGCCTAAAATATTTACTGACTGACCCTTTACAGAAAGTTTGCTGACCTCTGATGTAGACAAGGAGAAATTGTTTTTAAGAAGAGGAGTAATATGTCCAAAGAACTCATTAGGGAGATTTAACATAGTAACACTATGCAGAGAAGCCAACGTTAAAGGAGCTGGAAAGAGAAGCCAGATGTTCAACATAGGTAATGTGGTAAAGACTTAATGCAATACTCTTTGAATAGAAAGAAGATATGAGTCTGTAATCCTTATAGAAATGATATGCTTTAACTTTAAATTGACCCAACCACTATGCCACGGCAAGGTTCTCAACAGTTGAAGATATCATAGATTCTGTCAAGTTCAGCAATCTCTTGGGGTTTGGTTTAGTTTTGAAAGAGTAAAACAATGCTGAGGACATGAACTCTGAAATCAGAATCCTGCATCTTCTAGGATGGAAGACCTTGAACATATTGATTCTCCTATCTTTGTCTCAGGTCTCCTCTTTATAAAATGGATATAACAGTAATATTTATCTTAGGATTGCCGTGAGAATTAAATAAGTTGGTAGAGACAAGAAACTTAGAATTTAGCAGACATGTATGCACTCAACGAAGTTTAGCAATTATGTGTTCATATATAAAAAAATGGAATTAATTTTGCACCAACCTAATATATTTGCATCACATAGCCGGGAACAATTGCTAATATAAATGAACAAATAATAGCTAACATTCACTTAGTACATGAGTCAATAGGCTCTAAGTTCCTTATCTCTATCAATATACTTAATTCTCACAACAATCTTAAAAGGGAAACCCCAAAATGCTTCAGAAATATACACATTCTGTCCAAAACAGTTAGGCTATGCTGTATGCAAGCTGTGTTAGGCTAGACAAAACAAAGCAAAAAAACATACACCCCTGACCCTATGGAATGCCTAGTCTACTTTGCAGACTAAGTGAAATGCTATGTAGATGCTATCTGTAACAACACCACCAAAAAAAATGGAGTTTGTTTAAAAATAAGGAATTAAATGCATACTGGTTTTGTAATCTGAGACAAATATCATTAAAA